AGAGACACAGGATTGGCTGAGGCCAGGTGGTCCAATATGTCTGCGCCCTAATCCGACGCCACACCACACCACACCTCCCCCTTAGGAGTTAAGCTGTCTTTAGCTTCTGGCTGTCCACAACTCAGAGGCTTGCTCATTGTCGACCATACCGGTGGGTATATTTTTTGTTATATTCTAAGAAATGTGGTTTTATCGTTTGCGGTTTTATATATGCTTTTCGAATTTAGGGTTTTTGATTATACCTGCCAAAAATAATTGTGCAGTGCTTTTTTTCGATTTTAAATTATGCTTTGGTTAAAGACTTTCCTAGCAGAGTATTATAGGACTTTTTAAGTGTTTATTGTCTTTGTGGTGGAAATTGTTCAAGAAAGAAGTCCTTCTCAAGAATCTTATGCTTCACCGCACAAATGCATGTTGTGGAAAATTGGTTTTTAAAAATTACTTAACTCAAAATCTTTTATCGTACGTTAAATAGTATGCAAATTGCTTTTCCTTTAGTATTTTGTATTATGGGTCTGTGCTTAGATATTTTCGAAGCAACCTTTAATTTGCACAATTCGTTTATTGTTATTCCCGACTTCTTATTTGCAGATTTATGGGGACAAGTTTTCTGTCAACTAATGGATCCACACACCTGGCACTTGCAGTCATTGTTGATCGATCATGATCATCCCTACAGTCGACCTTCTTATCTAGAACCGATTACCTCCATTTGCATTGAACCTGTTTTTAAGCCGGGTGTCCTCAGGTAGAATTAAAACATCTTATTTATCGCCTTAGTGAGGAAGACTTCCAGTCAAATTGGATTAATGTTGCTGATGAGCCCGAAGCGGAATCAACTGCCACGCCCAGACCACTTTCTAAATCTGAAGAAAACCCACTTGCCAGCTTCTGTGGTTCAGATCCAATCGAAACTGCTAGATCCGAAATTTTGCCGGATTCTTCTGTGTAGCTTCACCTCTGTTATATTGTTGAATTTTAGTAATTCTTCACAAATTACATGGAACACAAACACCGGTAAATTGTATCGATACATGAGAAAGACTCTAATTCAAGCTGATTTGGAGAGTTTGATTTCCCGTCAAACGGTAACCTCACACCATTTTCTTACCCTAAATTGGTTACCAGCCTAGTCTCACTGTGGGTGAGTTTCGGCGCCATGCTTACCAAGAGCTCTTAACGAAACGCGTTGCACGCTATATCAGAAAAAAATTCACCACGTTGAATTGGGTAACTTTTTGTGATATTTCTCATGTTCACATAGCGTGTTGATTCGTGTGTTGAGCTCCACGAAAACTTGCTCAATACACTCCCTAGCAATCTGCTTCTGACATACTTAAATGGATTTGCCTACCTCCTGCATCAGAACCGAGTTTCGCCGCTATTGCGTCGCTTAAACAACGAGATTGTCTCGCGCCAAATGGTGCAGCGTTTTGATTACGCCAAATTTCTCGAGTGTGCTGCACTTCCATCGGTTGATAGCCTTTCTCCACTTTCTTCTCGAAGGATTCCTGATGTAAGTATCTATAATTGTCGGTACTTTAGCTCGTGGAGGCGCTAAACAATGGTTTTTCTTCTTGCCAACAGCGTGTTAGAGATAGAGCTGCAAGTGCCTATTCTCCAGTCACTTTCATCCCCGCGGCTCCTTTTATTGCCTGCCCTCTGAGCAACGCTGGAGCTACCTCTGGTCGCGCGTCGTCAATAGATGAACCAATTTTCCTTTGTGTGGTGGATAAGGTTCAGGCCAGTGGATCACGTATTGACAAAATGCTGAAAAACCTGTCACAGCTCGGTAGAGTTATTGTAGAATCGGATGTCGGTGCCACTAATGTTCAAATTCGTCGACTAGTTCGCCGCTTTCTCTCTTTGGTACGTCCTGTTTTGAGTAGTTTTCGTTACGGAACGAAAACTTCTAGAAACATCTGTAAACCTTGTACATCATAACATTATTCCTTTCTGACTTAAATTGTTTACTGCAAATCTAATTGCCCTCTAGGCTCTTAGAAATGCGGCATGTTTGCCTACAAGTGCCTTACTTTTGATAGACAGAGAATACGCGCGCGACTCCTATTTATCTGGTTGGTTTTGGATCATGCTGCGACGTACTACTGACAGCCGCTGCTACCTCCCCGCAACTTTTGCCTCCCTCGAATGGAGGCGCCCTAGAGGACATTATTTGCGGTCGTCTTGCCAGTTTGGATGCGCCGCCCCCTCTCAAACCTTGGCTTGCCGGTCTTATCCTCATTGCCCCTCCTCCAACAACTTATCGTTTTGACGAATTGGGCAGCCTTGATAGCGTCGTTCGTCGATGCTCCCTCCTCCTGGTCATCAGTTCAAAGTACCAGAAGGAAGCTACTGCTTTTCGGGAGGCGCTTATAGCTGCTCGAAAACGATCGATGGTATACGGCGTTGGTGTATTTCGTGGAAATGATTGGAAACCACCCTGTGAGTTTGACCTCCGCATGCTTGTTATCGGCGGCTCCGACCACCTTCTGCGAATGCATCCTAGCATCCTACGAAGATTCGCCACAACTCAAAGTGCCATCGACTTTGCTATTAATGTGAGTGCAGTTAGTGGACTTTCTCGTCTTATCACTTTTCGTTACCAACCCTACCATAAAACTAAACTAAAATGTTGTAACCTGCGGTTATTCTTGTTCACTGCACTGAATTCGTGTGTAAACATCCGACGCCATTGACCAAAACCAGCTTAAATATGATGGAAGATGCTTTGCTGCACGTACCACTCAGTTTACGCCCATTTCCCACACCCAAGGTGCTTCTGAAGTTATAGCCATTAGTAATGTTTTATGCAATGTGAAAACGCCGAATTTCATCGTTGCTAGCCACTGCAATGCTACTTATAGATCGCAATCAAAAATCTGGTGGCCGTATGTCGCTCTCTCGTGAATACCAATGCAGCACCCATGTCCACTCATGGAAGTAACACTACTGGCATCAGTCATGAACAGATGAGCAACGTAGGTAGCAATGGATCGGCCTTCCCGCCTCCACGATTCACCAAAACCAGCAAAACACAAGAAGCAAGAAAGGGCACCGAAGCTCTAAGTTTTTCACGAAAAGCTGCCATTCTGCGTGGCGGAACCCAATCGCGAAATTACACCGAGCGTCATCAGGTGCCTCAGTTACGCATTGCTGGACAGCGTCCGGCTTTCCCTCAGTATGACGAGCACGCAAAGATTCCTGGAAGGTCCAGGTCACATTTTAAGCCATAGCCATTTGGGGCAGAAAAGGTTCACTCATGTTATTACTCCTCGATTGCTGTGCCTACGCTTCACGTCACGTTTTAACACCCAAACAAACGGATTTTTACACCATTCAGTTTCCCTGTATTTCACTCCCATTTTATAAAGCTAATGTTTTGGATTGCGCGGCTTCTTCGGCTTCCTTTTACCCACTGTTTTCCCGCGTGATAATCGGGCACGAATTAGACGTTTTTGATGCTGACTAGAAAACGAAAGATTTGTACAGTAGTCTATTTATTCGCCCAAAGCAACCAGGTACCTTCAACATTGCCCGCTTAAATTTAAATCACCTTTACGGGGACGTTGTTTGTTGAATGATGTCCTCGACAATGCGTTCCCAATCGGCTTGTGTGAGTTCTGCGTGAGAAGAATAGGTGGACTCTCTTTCGGAGGCATCCAGGCCTTGGGCCTGCTCGTCAAAATCGGGACCAGCTCCCCACAAAGACTCAAGGTCGTACTTCTGTCGAAGTTCTGGGGTCGCGAACAAGTGCAAAAGGATATTGCCTACAAGGGTAAAGTCACTCTGAGTTGTGTATTCGGGATTTCTCATCGGATCATGCAGTGAACGCTAAATGTCTTGTTACATTTTATAGTCTCTAAAACGAGTTAGGTTAATTGAAATTTAAAAATAGTATATAATGAATCGTATCAGCCACGTCGTCAAAACAAGCAATGTTGATAACGTGGCTGGCCCGATAATGTCTTATTACGCTAAGTAAAATCGAACAAGAGTTGTAATTACATATATAAATATAATGTAATGCTTCAACATAGTTTAAGTGCTCAATTTGAGTTCCTAAAAGTGCCTGGTTGTATTGTCTTTGAAGTTTATTCAACAAAAATCATAATTTTGCTAAACTATGGCGATGAAGCCAGATACAGCTCCAAGTTGTTGATGAGGCCTGTATTCACGATTACATCTTTAGATGTATGAAGCGAAGAAGCTGCCTCTACTTACCGAGGTCAACAGCAACCCAATCCGATTGCTCTTTGAGGCCCTCGAGAGACGGCATGGGGTCAGAGGGAGAGCGTTTTATTTTGAACTAGAAAAATTTAAACAGGCAAAACATTTTACGTTATAAAAAGTATCATGGGCAAGTGGATTTGGATAATGTGGCATTGCATCGAGTTAATTACACACATGCGTCTAACAAGAACTACGTTGGGGAAATGCGTTTTGGGGTGGGAGCGCATAGTGATTAAAAAAAATCGGTTTGTACTAGGCATGCTACAATAAAGTGATTATGCATGAAACAACTAGAGTTCTTTTCCTAAGGAGTTGCGACAACATTACAGAAAGGAAAATCCAAATTTTTCACTTACTAATCTACGCAAAACATCTGAGACCTGAGATATGTGTTTCCTGGATTTTGCGGATGCGACAACCATGAACTCTCCATAGTGCGCATATTCTGGTAAACTAATAACCACAACATTTGAGACGTTCTCAGCAGCAAGAAATTTGACTAATTCCGTGATGCTAAATACTCCATCCGACGACCCTAAATTTTGGAGTATATCAAGATTAATTCAAATAATTCAGACTAGTTGCACTGATGAATGGATATTTGCAATCGTTGGTGGATTGTGAAACATAATCAAACTCGGGATCTTCCTCAAATTGCTTCTCAGTGGGGAAGTCGTAAACTTCGAGAACCGTATCGTCAGTCGACCCGACGGTTCTTCCAACATCAGGGTCCCTTTCTACGTTACTTGAGAGAGACCTTCGAGCTTGAGTTGAGGAGAGTGTTGCAACGTTCTTCCAAATTAGAAGGGGGTGAGGAGCTCTTCGATAAGCCTGAACGAGTGGCTGAAAACATGTTGGAACGAAAACTGGTTAAAAGCAATGTGACTTTATTGTGCAAATTGTTATGAAGAGAGGTAAATAAACTACTATTGAATGCTTACAGAAAAAGATATTCAATGACTGATATGATTGTCAATATAGCGGGGTTCCGACAAACATATCAGTTTACGATTTGTTTTTTTTAACTATATCTGCAGGATGGCTGAAAAACACTTTTAGGCACTTTATAACTCTTGACGCAATGCACAAGCTGAAAGGAGGAGATACTTCTTATTTAATCACGAAGGGGAAACTATTCGAAGAAAGTGCGAATAAGCATAGCCTTTCTACCCACGAAAATAGACACGATTAAATTGCCTTGGATTACATCAAACTATACCATGATATTGTATAATAAAAAGCATACTAAGTGACTATACAGTACGGCTGGATAATCTTTTAAGGGAGATGATAGATGAACACTGCACAAGTATTAAGGAATTATGACTAGGGCAAAAGGCCTTTGCAAAAAAATTTTGTTACTCAAATATTCTAGGAATATTAATACAAGTACGCGACGTGTACAGAAACACAAATTTCTTAAGAACGTAATTTATGAATACCTAAATTCGACAATAGGCACCTTTAAGATTTTCATCACAAATTGGCTGATCAAGCGCGACCGAAGCGCGCGGACAAACAAAATACTGGTTTTAATAACCCCAAGGGCACGCAATGCGATAAGTTTTAATCAATGTCTGATTTACTGTGCTTGTCGTGTGAAAAATTGTGTTAAATGCAAAATTATATTTTAGTTGCTCAATACAACTTTTAATGTAATATAACGCCACCAATCTTGTGATCGAAGGAAATTAAATGAAAATAAATGAAAAATCAATGCAAGACATTGCTTTTTAGGCACTATCCGTACAAATACGCTATATATATATAACTGTAGAGTTTTTTTATGAATGATGTTCGAGTGAATATGTGTTTAAGATTGCATGCATGTAATTAAGATCAATTTATTGATTAGAAAATGTTTCCTGCATGACTTAATGATGTATGACCACAGCCTTATATTTTCACCATACACTTTAAGTTTTAAAATCCCACTAGATATGTTTTTTGGACGCAAGATGACTTTTTCAAAAACATCTAGTTTTAAAAATTGGTATATTTAACTCATGGCATCCATAAATATATAAACACAAAGTGAACGCAGCAATCTTATGCTGTACATGTTTATAATCCTTATGATGAGGACAATAAACCAACGGTCCTAAAATATAGCAGTTCTGTTTTTGAGTCATCCACATGCGTATCTCATCTTTTGTGGAAATGTGCGCAAGTTTTCTTGACGTCGTCCCATAGTAGTCTTCACTTTAATCCAAAATATTTTCTTGCCTCTAGTCCAGAAATAGAAGTGATGAGTTTGTTTCAGTTTATAGTATGCAACGTTTCCTTTTTTCGGTTTGTAGCATAATTATGTAGATTTTAAATCGCCTATTTATCCACTGAACTATAGGTGCTCACAGTACGTTAAAGTGTCCAACATTGCACTTCTTATATTCTTTTTAAACGTCATATTAATTGATATGTAATGTTTAATATGGCACATACACATTAATGAACGTTATCGATTGTCATTCACCTCACATGCGTCTGCGTTACAATCTTAGCCATCAAAGATTTAAGGCTTTTTATTATTAACACAGTGCATACCTCACACTAATGTAGACAAACTACGTAATCCCTGAAGCCATACTATGACCGATGTGAAAATAAACTACTCATACCAACACTAACCACCATCACACACACGTCCCCGTCCTCTCAACCATAATGCCATGGTCGGTATTTTGGAGCATACAAGGAGCCCAGAAACGCAGCCATTGTCAACTTTGACGTGATGACTACACGTATCAAGCAAAGCCAGGTGATTTCTATTGCCAGCACACACACACGAAATAATAACAGAGACTCAATATAAAAAATATTTTCAGTTGTAACATTAGGAACTTCGAAGACTCAATACTCGAAGCCGCACAAGCCTCGATAAGTGTCTATGTCGGTAGTCCGCTAATCCCCTTGCCTTTGGTTTTTTATCACTTATAATCGCCAAAATTAATTGAAAACGTTGTTAACACAAGCAACTTTACTTACTCGTTTGCCGTCCGTCCCAAAACCCAGAGATCCTCAACTAGGCTCACCTGGGTAAATATCAAATGTACTTTCAAAATCCAAGCACTTGTGCTTCAAAATTAAAACAATGGCCGTGTTTTGAATTTTTTTCAAGTTTGTACAATTCGCAGATAAAAGTTGCCAAAGTAAGTTAAGGTATAAATTAGTAAAATTCCTGTATTAATGTTCTCCGGTGCTTTTCGCAAATGTTCATTTTGTTCAGTAGTGCACCTCGTTCTGTTATTTCGGCACGGGCAATCTTCCAAGAGAGATCCTCTACCTCAGCTTCGAGGAGAGCTTGCTGGTACTCGAACAATGGCAGGCGCTGTGACATGCAGGGAGGGGGGTAGTAGGCATAGGGATATGTGTACTTGAGGGTGTAGCGGCACTTCCGAAGGGTATCTGCAGCCGTTAAAAGATACTGCCAGTCGATCCACGTACCTTCACCGTTTTGCATTTTTGACTGAATTCGGGCTTGGATGCTGGCGTAGTGTTTTTCCTCCAAACGCAAACTCCTCTCATGATTCTCCCACTAATAAACAAAAAATATATCACACAGTTTAGAGGAATTCCGTTTGGCCTCACTTCGACACAGTGGCGTTTGATCATTGAAACTTCCAGTATGGGTGGGGTATGGTAGTTACACGCATTCGCATTGCGCAATTCACATATGCATGCTAAATTATACGTGCAAATCGAAGTGTGCAAATTCATTCGGTGGAGGAATTTAAAATTAAAATCTTGAGTGAAATTTTTAAAAGCGAATATTGTAGAAACAACAGGTACATTGGCGTCCTAAAAGAGCGGTCAGTAAATGCAACAACTTCGATTCAATACTGAAATAATGCACGCCAAGAATAATAACACGAAATAAACAAAAATCTTGTCAATCCATGCGAAAAAAATCGATAGATGGGCATCTTTTGTGGTTTCCGCTTATAATACCTGCAGCCGGAATAGCGCAGCCTATGGCCAAAAAGCCAACAAGATTCATTTAGGGGAAATCTAAACTCCACGCCCCAATAGAACTTGAATGGGCTAAAAGGCACCGCATGCATGCTTGAGGCACACCCAAGACGTCGTCGAATAAATCACAAATCAGACGGATCGTGTTAGAGTGGTGGACCAATTTGAATAGATCGAGAGCGCAACAACGAAGAATGTCCTCGCAAATTAAAGTGACTGTAATCAAGTGTAGTGAAGAGAATTTACTGAAATACTGAGAGTTGACACTTTAGAATTTCATCCGAAAACGCCCACGACACCTGATACTTTGCCAAACACGACATGAAGGCATTAGTGATAAATGTAAAAACACAAATCAGGCTGTGAGAATGAACAAATTAATCTGATCTGCTTAATTGCCCCAAAACTAATGGCGCTGCAGTGGTCGTTTCGTTTTGAAAACAATAACTCACCCTTTCATAGTAGAATAGGTAGCGTTGAAGATATTCTCTGGCCCGAGTTCTTTTGGATTCTCGTTCAGAATCTTCAGATTTGCGGTACTTGCTACAGTTGTAGTATTCCACTGGGTGCTCCTGCCAAGCTGAAATTGAAAGACACTCGATTTTAAGCAAATATTTCGAAAAAGCGTGCTTTCTTCTTCAAAGTGTGGACTAAGTCCAATTTTGAGCGCCTATTTCACAACAAAAATACCGCGTAGCGACACCTTACACACAGAGGTAGTAACCATATTTTAAAATCGAGATTTGGTGCCAAATAATCTACGACGCTTAACATAAGGAATCCAAGCATTTAAATGAAAGGAACATAGACGTTTAGAGCCATCGGGTCAGTTATAGGCGCATAGAGTCAAACCTAAGCCATGTAAGCCCAAACATGCAGCTTGAAGGGCTATTTGATAAAGTAATGCAGCTGTTACAACGCCGCTTTTACGGGGCTCAATAATCAGAATATAGCTCTCAGAAGAAAGCAAAATAATGGCCTGCGCGTCCACATGCGCGTATGTGGGAAAATTAGTAACAAAATACAGGAGATACTTTACTTACGTCCAAGACAGACCCAACAAAACTGATGCTGACATTTGAAACATTGCTAAAAAGAAAAGAAAATGCTGAATTATTCGGAACTATTCCTCATAATCACACGGTGTGATGGCTTCATTCTCTAACAGAATCTTTTCCAACGCGGCTGTATTTAAAGATCAGTAAGGATAAAAAAATTAATGATCAGTCAAGGCGCCTGCGAGATAAAAGGCCCACCAGATTTTAGGGCAACCCACCTATATCAAATTTTTTTGCCAAGCGTTAGTGCATGTTAAAGGAAACCGAAAAAACTAACTACGTTTTGGGCACTGAGCGATCAATCCCAGCCGTTCCCCAAAGCACGCATCCATCAAGATACAGGTGTGCTTATAACTGGTAAATGCAATCAGCTCATATTTCTCATTGGCCTAACGGTATGAGACCGCGGTACTGGCAAAATGGGAGCATCCACAATTAAAAATACTTAAACGGTGACTTAATTGCTCCCATTATAATGAGTGTTGCAAAGCCTTAGTTGGGATCGTTAAATTTCCTGACAAAAAAAATAATCCATCTTCATTCCCTCATGAAAATGAGGTAGGCTTGGGTGACTAATTTTAGTGACACACACACACGCACACACACACACAACAACTACACGTCAAAATATGTCAGTGCCAGAAGGTTTATCGGAGGCATTGAGTTCTTCTCCAGTCCGGCCGAATTCTCGCAAAACAGACACCCATAAAAAACATAACAGTCAAGCTGAGGAGTACCATGTGATTACATCCACCGTTTTTTTCTATTAAAACACCACAATTGGGACAATCCTTGGTGTGAGCAGCCATGTAATTGGCGGTGCCAGAGTCATCTCGGCACTTTTGCAGCCACTGCTTAATCGTCTCGCAGTGTGCCGGAGCGTGGTATTCAATGCTACAGGAAAAACAGAATTGTGTGCCGCAGGTCTCACAGGTTACACGCAGCGGTTTTGGTGCTTCGAGGGCATAAATGATGCTCGTGCAGTGAGTATCAGTGCAGGGACGTAGTCGAGGATGAGCCTAAAAGGATACAATAACAGCAATAATGGGCGCACGCACAAGGGCAAATGACCCCCTCAAGACTAATTTTCGTGGACGTGTACTTCACGAGTGTTAGGATTATGGGTTGTGAATAAGTGCAGAAAACTAATCAACTGAGTTCGGTAAAGCACTTTATTGGACCCCAATGGTAAAAATTAAACTGTTCCCAATTAGCACATACACTCCACGTATAATGGATATGGAAATTGACGATTTACCAACGCCACAGGAGATTCTGTAAGCTGACGCAAGTTAGACACAATGTGGTGGATTGGTTCTGACCGCAAAATTTACAAAACGGCGAAGCCACCCTCAGCGCGGTACTACCGATTTGGTTAGTATTAAGGACGCATGATCTTTACTGAAGTGTTAAACAACATGATGGCAACACCGCGAAACCAACCGAAAATAGGCACCAATTATTGCCTTACACAACACACAACAGGACGACTTATCGACAGGTAAGGCAAATTTTCGAATACATTCAAGTTCTCTCCCTAATTTACTTGTACCTACAGATACTCAATACATTACCAGTAATAACGATTTGTAGGGATTTTGGTTTTTTTTGTCGTAAAAGCAGGCGTAAAATTGGTACATGACCAAATGGACTAACTCTATTTGGACTGCGCCAGAGCTGGCCCAACAAACTTTCGAAGTCCATAACACTGAAAACGTAAGATTAATGAAGGTCCAAGAATATTACAACCTTATTGTTGAGTGGACGCTAGAAATCACTTGATAGCATGTGTGGAATACTATTAGGTGGAGTCAGAAATGAGAGCCTACTGCATCGCGTCCATGGAAGTGAACGTGCATTAGATTCCATGAATATATTCTCTCCAGATCTTCAAATTTGTTTGGAAAAACCATTATCTTGTCTTACAAATGACACTTGACCTTGTTCAGATATAAAAATGCCCACTTTTAGTATTAAAACATTGAAGAAAATAAGATAAGCGAGTAATGCAATACCTTGATAACCTCGTTAAGAATATGTTGGCGATGCTTCAGCGCAGACTCAAGATCATTGAGAACAGCCAAAATAAAGTCGTCGGGAATTCGTATGGTACATTCTGTGTCCATGCACTCAATTATCGGCACGTGTGAGCTTGAGATCCGGACGTTGAAAAACGACTTCCAACATTCAAGACAAAACATGTGGCCACAACTCATTCCAAATAGACGAGGTTCAGCAAAAGCTGGGTTCTGGCTCGTGTCCACACATTCCGAAGATGATGGTGGTGAAAAGCAAATTGGACAGAGATCATCCTTAAGAATCCTACCTAGGTATAAATTAAAAAATATTTTGACAGCGTCGAAAAAAATTGCCAAATTTTACATTAAAAAATGGCACGACAATAGAAAATTTTGGACAGGATAGGGCATCGAACAAAAGAAAAATAACTCAAATAACCTTTGACTGTGAATGAAGAGGATCTCTGGGATGTCATCGAGCGCTGTGAAACAACTCCAAGTATCTGCATAATTTCAGGACTATCTGAAGTAAACCAAGGCCCAGTTGCAGGAATAAGGTTAGAAGAAATTAGAAGGGACAATGGGTCATTTATAAATAACTCCTCAACATGTCGTATATCCCACTTATGTTGCCGCAAAAATAGGCTGCCTAGCCACCAGGGAATCTTTAGCAGATCACACAAAAAACGACGAATACCTTAAGCTTTTGGCAAATTGAATTTACGTCTTCAGAGACAATTTGCTCTACATCATCACTTTTAAGAGTTCTACATTTCAGGTCTTCAGAAAACACATCATCGGTGGTTCTGAAAACTCTATTTAGCATCAAAAAATACGAAACCTTAGTATAACATCATCTTTATCGCTTTCTTCAGAAAGCCCATAATAGTCGTCACAATCATCTGGGTAATCATCTGCCCCAGAAGCACTACCACCCTCAATATCAACCATTCGAATATGTTTATTTCATCCGCATATCCACCCAGTTGTATAAACAAGGTTAAAATTGAGCATAAATTAATTAGGTATGCAGACAATGACAAAAAGTTATAATTTTTCCTCACACAAATAAAATTACAATTATGGAGAAAATGAATCTTTTAGGGTAAAATTCACAAAAATAGATCAAAAAAAAAATAAACAGAAAATTTTAACTTTCTAGTGCCATTATTCTTGATCTTTGACCTTAACTAAACATGTTTTACGCCTTTGTAGTGTGTTCATGTTGTGAGGACTTGTCAGCAGCTTTGGAGACAATATTAATTTACGTTCAAATGAGCCTACTTGCATCCTTCCTTCCATCATTGGTCATGCCAATTATGCATGCATGTAAATATGAATGTATAGTTATGCTCCTTAACTGATGAATGCAAGAACAATTTTTGATTACATTTAGTGGTATGTATGAGGGAGTCTTGAAGTGCATGTGTAGAAGTTATTCTTGTTTATTTTTAAAGCAACCAACGACGAGGGATTTCTGAAAATCCATATAAAATTGGTTTGTCAAATAGTTTATTGATCCACAGAGCGTTTCAGCTCTCCTTTTAAATATTCAGAAAATTTTGGAAGAATTTGCAATATTGTCAAATTCAAATTCGTTAAGAAACTTCATTTAATTTGTATCGGCTAACATGCGAACATTCATACAAAGCCTGAGTGGACACGAATTCAGTCGTTTAGCGTAAATGTATTTTATGAAGGCAGTGAATTATTTTATAGAGAGTTAGACGTTACGCTATTTGGTTAACACATATCTTTACCCCCAAAAAAACCGACCAGGTAAAACTAAAGGCATATATTACAAGCTCATAAAACAATATTATAAAATGTTAGAATCTGACAACGTAGTTAAGAGTAGTTGTGTAACTGACTGGAAGAGGACGAAAGGCTTGACGTGACATAACGCGTATTTATTTGTACGATAGCTCTACCAATTTTCACCCCCATGTTCTTGGGGGAAATTAATAATAAACTTAATAAGACCACATAAGTGCGTATGGTAAGTCGACAAACAATTAAAGATAAGGAGGAAGTGGATGGAAAAAAGTCACTGGAACCTACATAGGAAAATTAAAAGGCATCTATAGCGACATATAGATTGTCAAAGTGGCTTTTGAAAGGTGGGGAGGCAAAACAGCATGTACCGAAATTGCTATTTACAGTTTGCATGATTTTTAGGATTAGCCGTACTTAAGATGTGTTTGAGGCAACAATTAATTCAAAAATTGATTAACTTATTCTTGGAAAAACCATGAAGTATTTCATGTAGCACATTTGAAGATCAGCGGTAGAAAAATCTAATCAAGTTACCGTCTACACAAACAACCAGAGATATATTAGTTCCAGTCCCTATGCGGCATTTGTTTCGACCTTGGATGTGTTCCGACGTATGCCTTTAGTTCCTACAGACCTAAGCAAAGTCTTATGTATTTGAAAGAGTAAATTAAACCTGATCATATTTATTTATAAAATTCTCATATTTCCCTCAAACACACTTGAGATTATTCCCAAACCTCAACGTTTATCAAAAGTCGATGTCTAAATCTTATGAAATCTGTAAAGTATAGTTTTCTTCAAGTTACTAAACATCTGAAAATGTGACAACAGGCCAACATTTTTGACTAGACAACAGAAGAATTGTGTCCATCTCAAGTCTACGGATATTCGTCAACTACCGCCTATTCTAGTTAATCTTACGTACCAGGGTTCCTCGAAACTCGATTTGTGGTTGCAGCAATGCCCACCCTACTCTTTGTAAAACGCTTCTTCACAATTCGGTATCACATTTTTGGTCCGTGCCTTCTGTCGCTTAATCTGCAAATTTTTTCACGGTGACCTTTTCTACAATGCATCAATAGATTTCTCAGTGATTTTGACACTATAATAGGTGAGATACTGACTGATTCTGAGTTTTCTTTTGGATCAGCTCATTCATAATCATGGCGGTTGATTTATTTGTCCTTATTTGCGTAACTGATTTCACCCATGATTAGCAACTGAATGGGGGTAATCATGTAAATTGACAGGTTAGATTTTGGATGTTTTATGTCGTTATAATTAGAGTTCGTTACAAGCTGAAGCTCACCTCTGGCATCATTTGGACAAGTTTTGGAAAGGCAGTTAAGTCAAACCGAATAAGTACTCTAACATGCTCACACTAATCATAATGCAAGTACAGTAGATTTTCGCTTTAGTCGTTTCGGTGTAGATTGTCTCAACAGGTTTACCTAAAGACAATGGGCACCTCATTTGTGTATTCGCGTAACCCTTATTGGTCCTCACTTGCAGCTAGTCCTCTCTGTCCACGTACCCACCACAATGACGCATCGTAGCTTTCGACCGTTCCTGTAGCCTTTTTACTAAAACCTGTGTTATTGAGTCCACTAGGCAGGAACGAGCATTAGTGTTGCAAAGTGGCTCCTAACTGGTACACAAGCGGCAGGGGTACTTCACAGAATGCGTTTGAAGGTAGATACTGTGACATTCATAATTAGATTTGTTGCAGACGTGATGTCGTTTCAAATAAAACTTTAAAGATTACAGTCGTTTCGAGGAAAATATTGTATCATTTGTATTTTAGGAAGTTGGCGATAGCATTGGGTTAGGACCCAATATTAACCTAGTTTTATGTTAGTGCATTTACCACTAGCACCATAAACGCAATGCGAAATCAGGACCCGCCGTATCAAAGACGTCTTAAGCACAAGGTAAAGGCTACTTAGGAGCACGGCGAGAGGCATTCTAATTTTGAATGCTTAAACCTTAGCAAATTTCTTAGTCTATGCAAGCATGACTTCTACAGAACCTTAAACTACACCAGAGTTATGTATTCCAATTCCTAATTCGTGAGGTTATTGGCATACATTGAGCTATCCTCCTCTTTATTATGATTTCTTATCTGAAATTAGGTTCGGAGGTACTTGAAAGGAAGAGTGATGATTCATTGGCCTAATATGGAAAAAAGGTTGTTTACAACAACTTAAGTTCATTTGCTTTGATAGACACATTGACGTCAGCTATGCCAAAACACGACAAATGCGCTTCTGGCAACTCCATTTTGAGGTGTAATTGTGGATATCTGTTTCAAAAACTGCCATGGTAACACTGTGCAAAAATTAGTACAAAAGTGTAACTCATCGAAATTTTTCGAGCGTGGAAGTGATCGTAAATCAAGTCACTGTCCATCAGAAGCACCAGACCAGAGGCGTCAAACTGATAAGAGTAGTATGCTACATCTCACACACAGGGCTTTGAAAATCACTTGAAAGTCAATAAGGGGTCAACTTACCATCAAATGTGAATTTGTCCTCACAAAGGAACACGATTTTTTAGCCAATGACCCGGAATTGAAAACAAAGGTTTGGGAGGTCAGCGCATTCGTGTGAAAATCTCGCTGGCCACATTTTCGACCTGACACAGCCAGTAAGTTGAGAGGGAAGTTTGATTGTGGCAGTATAAAAGACCGATTCAGGGGAAACGTTTAACGTCGCAGCCAATTCTTCTTGTCATTGAGCTAACAGCATCAAGTGCTGAGGAATGTAGAGTCATTCACAAGAAAGCGGATGCCAACACGCTAATATTTTTGGTAAAATGTTTACAAAAGACGAAGATTTCTGTGAGATCTCGTTGGAACTTCGACTACCATCGACCAAAATCCAGGAGACGCCTTTGTGCCTTGCCTTTTTTCTCTCTCGTTTGAGATGGGTGGAAACGATCTTATCAAATCTGAATTATGACAAATGTGTGAACATCATCCACTAAAGTTATTGTTATTATTCACCGATCGGCGACCACTAGTTTTTTCTGCCGAATTTCATTGTGTGACGTATTGGTTCACCCAGAGTGGAGATTCGGAGCAGTTTACTCTGGATTTATAAAAAATACCCGGAGGAACAAGATTTTGTGTGAATGACAAGCATCAAACAGTTTTGTCAGGGAGAAGAATTAAAACATCTGCGTAGAAATCCGCATGGGGGTAACTAAACGGGGACCTACATTTGGATATTTTAATACTTTCTTGGTTTGAAGGGCCACTGTGTGTGGTATTCACCTCTTTTCTGACTGCGAATGCGTAGCTCATTTCACAATGACGTCCTGTGTGGAAATACATTTAACGGATCGTGACCAAGCCCTGTGGTGCCGATGTATGCTGTTTGTGAAAGATTTGAATAATGACAAAGAATGCTAGAAGTGTTGAAACAGATGCAGTTCTCGGTAGGAGACTTTAACTCACCATTGCAGCCTACTAATTTAGGCAATACCTACGCCGGTCCATAAAATGCATTGACTGTATGCTGTTGGATTTAAAAGACCCCCGCTTCGAGAACACACCACGACCATGTCAAATTTGAGAGTTAAGTTCTTCATTAGTCAGCTTAGAGAAGCAGTGCAAGTTGCCATTAACAATGCCTCAGACATTCGATGAAATCACACAAATTGCGTGTCTGCCATCCTAATTAGCTCAGATTGATTCACATCAGCGTCACATTTATCGATATAATATAGAAGAAAGGAAATTCTTTTGGATAAAACTGTTTTAAATATGGTAATCCTCGACAGTTAGAAACGAGTGGGGCTCGTGTACACTGTCTGTAATTTACTTCTCATCAAGCGAGGTTGTGGTTGGTTGCTTGAGACAACCAGGGCTCAACGATTGGCCACTGGTGTTTAGGGATCGATAGGCAGGACTGGCTTACTCGCCTGTGTCCTTACGCGGAATTTATGCGTGGGCGGAAAAGGGGAGCAGAGCGAAGTATTTCCAGTCTTAGCTTTCCTACTACTTCCCTCCTTTAATAGCTACTTCGACATAAACGGATGCGTTTGGATCCCATCCACTATAATGCTGAACTATTTGAAACGCCGATTCTCATCCACCGAGCTGATCAATGAAATCAAGAGTGGTGTCGGTTATGGGGCGCCACAGAGCCAGCAGCAGAGGCCAACTCAAGAATATAAGTACCTTCCTGAGGAAGTACGAAAGCAGACTGTCGAGGAGATGTCCACACAAAATGTGGCAGACTCGGGGCGGACTGTGAGCTCACGGATGGCATTTCCTAGTGCTCCCAGTTCTCCAACCAAGCAAGGATCCGTAGGAGGTGGAGGGGGCTTCATGAACACAGTCACGGGGCAGCTCAATAAGGCCAAGCATCTCTTTTCGACCGAGACACTTAATTCCATCATTCAGGATGCTAAAGTTCCTGGTCTAGCTAGTGAGCCGAAATGCAAAGTCCTTTTAGTCATCGATCACCCCTTTACCGACTGGTGAGTTGTAGATCAATTTTTCGTGGTCGTTTCCGTTTTCGCTTTGAAATTTTCAATTTTAACGTTGAATACTACTGTGAATATTTCCTTACATGTCTTATCTCTCATGTTCATTACTTTGTTTTACAGAATAATAGGTCAACGTTTGCATCTTGCGTGGTTACCGAATTACGTTAGGCAGCAAGAAGTTTGTTCTGGGGACATGATGCCTACCATATTTTAAACAACACCGTCTTGCCAAAAATTAGCAAAATCAGAGCACGCCAGATGTGCTTCGACTTCCTCCAGCATTCGGCTTCTAGTTGTTTTAGTTTAATAATTAATCCTCACCTTTTAATGGACAAACGCGAATAAGAAATACTTAGACTTCTAGATTTAACTGAAGTTTGCTTAGAATTCCTAATTGCGGCACAATCCATTTGATCTATACCAGGAGTGAAGTTTGGTATTTCAAATAATCGAAACGCCTAGCTAAATTACATTTTCGGTAGCTTTAGGACTCCATGGACCGTGGAAGGTAATTTTCTTTGCCTTCTCACTGGCTAGAATTTAAGAGGCAGTCATGTTCAGCCTTTTAAAATGCAAAATATAATTTATTTGACACAATTTACTCCGTCGTGTCTGTCCAAGGCGTACACAAATACCTCATTGATTTATCTGATCCTCCAAAGAAAAGATGGTAGCTGAAGCATTATGGTGCACAAATTTAACTCCAAAATTGGGGGGGGAGGTGGGAATAACCTACTGGGTTAGGCGGGGCTATTTTACACCCATGAAGTTTAACAAACCGATTTGGCGATCACTATACCTTTAGCACTACGTGGCGTTAAATAAGGCAAAGTTATAATACAGTAATTTTGGAAGACGATACTATGTTGTGAGTTGATTTTCTTTTTAGAATACTACAAAATTTTTGCACTTATTGTCATCGCATTTAGTTTTAATATTTCGTATGTATCTACTAATTATCTAAAGACAGAGATTTTCTTGATTGCCATGGTCCCCTAAACTGGTACACGAAATGCAATTATGCTTTTTAAGTCCAAACATCAAGTCCATAAATTTACGGAACTCTTTTGTAAAAAGTACACAGCTTGGGATGTTAGTAATTAAGGACTTTTTAATTAAAAGCCTTTAGTTTTCTTTGATAAAATGAACTTATTTATCAGAAACTCCCTCGGTTTTTCGTGTTACACTTCAGGATTCCTGCAGCAACAAACTAAACCTTTGAGTGTTTTCAAATGCATAAAATGATGTGCTTTCACTTACCAAAGATTTCATTCACGTTTCTCTCGTTAATGCAACCAATTCGGCTCATTTTCTCAAGTCCCGCTGTAGCAACAATCATCGTTTCTTAACACTGCTATTTATGAACTGAAGATATCAAGTTAGCATCGTCGTTTTTTACAGAAATCGAGGGTGTTTATGAACGGTGAAAAAAGCGGAGTCTGTAGTTAATGAGAAGCAACACAAACGGATGGTCCCAAAACTGGATTATTCAGTTCATGTCATCAGCAACTGCCTTGTTAAGCCTACTTCCTGCCGAAGTTGTTTGCACCTGTGTCTTGTGCGTTGACGAAGCTCATCCGTCTAACAACATTTTTGCCTTCTGTTTTTTTTCATTTGACCCCTCTCTGGTTGTCTTTTTATGTGGACGCGAAGCGCACCCAGTTTCCACAGGCAGAAGAGCTCAGTGAGAAGTCCGGTTACAGATTGTCCCCTAGCCCATTTCGTTGACCACACTGGGCAAGCTAATTCAAGATGGGGGAGACTAAATGCTTGTTTACTTAAATCACCTCTGACTTCAATGGCTGATTCTGAGATGACCGTGTGTGGTCTTCAGTTACTTTAGTTTTAATGCAGCAGTTTGAAATTACCTGTTAGTACTGATGATGCCTGCTGGTTTACTCTCAACACACTCCACTAAAATGTATCTGCTTTGACTGGAAAGCACTTATAAATATCCTAAGAAAGAATTTTGTCCGAGGATCCAATTATTCGATGGTATTAGCGGTGCCAACAACTAAAGCAGGCAGGTGTTCAATGTCTTTAGAGAAAATTGCTATCTTATCAACTTTCAATGGACGTTTTCACTCTAAATTAATGAAAAAAAAATAATTAACAAATTAACTGGCCTGAGCATATAGCACTCATTTAACTTTACTCATTTGAAAGGTTAACATAGACATATAATGACATTTTATGACCGCAGTATATAACATTTTTGAGGCTGAGGTTCCTCTCACAAAATTCGCACAATTATTCGTGCCCTTGAAAGATTATTAAACATCTGAATTCATACCGTGATGTGATGATTGGTTTACAATCATTTTAGGGCAAAATACCTGCACAAGCGGAAAATCCACGGCGACTGGGAGATTCGAGTTGAACAAGTGAGTGGTGCTTTGGTCTGATAAATTACTTGCACTTTGTCGGAATGAGAAGAATATGGAAAAGGTGAATTCTCTGTTTGTTTTAAGGAAAAGGGATCTAGTCATTTTGTAAGCATTTCCAAAATTGCGCAGTGACCCCAGACAATGCTTCTTTCCTAAAACTGGCAGTTTGTGTATTCATGGTTTTTTTCAGTCATTGATTGTGCTAAAAAAATACCCTTTTAAAATAGTTAAGAATGTTTTGCATCTTCGGACAAATATTGCATTTGATCTGTCTCTTAAGCCATGTGGCTTTTTGAACATTTCTGAAATATTAACTTAATTGTACCTGAACTGACCATCTTCTGAATTGGGAGGGATTGTGTCTATGCGTAGGCTTAAAATTGTTTTATCTGAACTTGGTCTTGAGTCGTTCCGCATTTGCTTCTTTTGGGTGAACTTAGACAACTTCCTCGGTTCAAAATATAGTTGAGGGTTCCCGAAGTGACGTTTGCAACCTTCTTCACACTTTAGTCTGTACTTTTATTCCCCTTCACCCTCATATACAGATTGTTTGGTAAACGTCCTCCGAATTCCCAAAGTCATTGCTTGTTTTCGACAAAACTGTTCCATATGTGGAAAGCTTGAAATGCCATCCATAAAGTTTTCATTGAGTAATCTAAAATTCATCTTTGCTAGAAACCTCATAAGATAATGGCTTTGACTTGCCTCGTGGCTTTACTTGATATTCACACTAACCATTTGTTCAAAGTCCAGGTTAGAAAAACCTTTACGTTCCTTTCCTTTTGGTCGAATTATGAAGGCTAGGCTGCCATCAAGGCTAATTCTATAAGTACATCTACGCTCTGGCGTCTGCAGGCATAAGCAGGCTTTCGCTCATCACTTCCTGTAGGTGCTCATAAACCAGTTCCTCGCCAAACCAAACCCTGCCTTCTTACTTTCAGGCCCAAATGAATGACATCAGCATCACATCTAGCCCGGATAGTGGTTGCTCGGTGACTGTACAATACAGCAAAGGCGCAAATTCCTCAACGCGGCAAGTTGCTTTTGCCATTTTGTATTCTTATGTTTGGATTCTAATTATGAACTAAGTTGGTTTAAGAGTCTTAACTTTGCGTGATGGCTGGAGAAAGCGGATTTTCTAAAACATTTGATTTTTTGCTATTATTTCCTTTCCGCAATTGATGTACTCGCATTACCTGATAAATGCAGATGTCATGGAATTTCTCGCAAACAGGGTTTTCAATACCGCCTTATAATGAAGTAAACAAATTCATTTGGCACAGAAATCTTAGGCTCCTGTCTCACCCACAATACCCCACATTCTGCTAGAGAGAGAGGAAGAGATCAACGATATTTTTTGCAGTCCGTTTTGAAGGCCAATTTTCAAAAAAAATTGTTAGTTGAAGGATTAGCACGATCCTTTGGATTGCAGTTAATTGACGACTATAGCTTTCCCACTTGATTGTTAGCCTAAACTAAATTGCTTTACGTGAGTGTAATGAGCCAAAGGTCGATATATCAATGTCTTGGTAATAAGTCGGGCGAGTTCTACAATCAACTACAGTGGTAGAAGGCATTGGTTAGGCATCAATTAAGCGCGACACCGTAAAACTTATTCGTCCACTATGCAGAATTCGGTTGTTGCATGTGGTCAGGTTATTCATTACAATAAAATATGTTTAACGGTTCATGTTCGGAGTTACAAATGCGAGTCGATACATATAATGCTGAGCTGGAGTCACAACGTCGGCGTTTTTGATATCCGACGCACCAGTGCCCACTATTTTAAAAAGGACCGCGATCAGACCGCAAATTATCCTTAAGAAATAATCCATGCATCACACAACCTTTAGAAATTTGAGTCACAAGTGTACCTCCTTTTTCCGCCATAAATGTCCACGAATTATTCGAAATAGGACTGACGACTACCATCCTTTCCTTCTGAAACGTGCTTCCTGATATTTAATTCGTTATTTCAGCTTCCAGTTAATAACTTTGTTTTTACTCTGCAGTACAAACAGCAATTTTGTAAATGGCTTTGGGTTGCGACGTCAATTTGGTCGGGTTTTCGCATCCACAGCGGTGACATCCCAGTGTGGGTAGTCAATTAGTTCTCTTGCCAGTTAGAAAATCTACCTATCAGGCTCTCTAACCAACACAAAAGTAACCTTTCTCTAACCAGTCACTTGAGTTTGCGTTCAGTGCGAGGGCATTGGTCCATACCGTGATATGCTGCGGAAACAGTCTCTTCCTCGTAATTCTGCTCATGAGAAAGCCGAAGTTAAACACATTAATGAATTGGAAGCCTTAACTAGTGGCCATTTAGTTACACTCTATGCACCTTGCCTCGCCTTATCAAGACGGCGAGGATAAACGGGCATTCGAATAATTACTGCAACTTGGGATAGCCCATCAAGCAGACGATACTTAGTTACCTGAAAACCTTGTCCTTTCCAACGTGACTGCGGGTGAACAGCACCCGTAACTGCCATATCTGTTTGCTATCGAATTACTAAGTCTGCGCGATTCATCAACTAATTTACAGGACAGAATTTAGTTCAAGCTTATTACTTAAAATCACTGAAACATTGCGCCACACAAAAACTGACTACTTCCATAGGGTCGCCTGATTTCATAATGCGGTTTAGTGTGCGAAAGTTAAAGTCAAAGGTATTTGCGAGTTGACATAACACAAGTTAAGCAATCATCGCCTACGTTTCTTGCATGTGAGCAATTCTTACTCCTGTTAAGATATTCCAACTTCTGATTAATATTCTGAAAGGTAAAACTTAACAACTAGTCTTATAGAATTAAGCACGAAACGATTTTACGGTGGCAGAAGAGGCTTTAGCAAGGACCAGCACGCACATTTATAGAGTGGTCCACACTCCCGTACCCCTGCCGACTGCAACTTTTTAAGGTATGGCCTATGCTAAAAATCTAACCCCTAGTGGCTAGGGTTATAAAAAAAAGAACATGATCCAAAGGCAAGTTGACCTACCGAGCATTTTATTCCATCGGTGTCTTCGTTTGCGATAATTCAACAGAGGCCATTTGTTCTGAAGATACTACCAGGATTGATAATATTTTTTAAATTTAGAATTAAATGGGTTAACTTGTTTTACAAAAGACTGTTTTTCTAGAATTTCCGTGATCCATTATTCCTGCTCGTTGAACTTACTTACAAAACACTTGAATTTTACACCAGTGGTCTTTGTCATCAGGTCATCCTTGATATCATCCCAAGTATGAATGATTTAGACAGCTGCAGCAGAGACCGTGGGCAATATAGTTAAAAAAACTCACTAAAGATGATCCTTTCACCATTGATTTCTGAACACATCATTCTATTATTTTTAAAATAGCATTTTTAGACTACATTCACTTTTCACCGGTACCCTAGGTTTGGTTAAAGGGATAAGAAGGCCTGCAGGTTCGCGTTGCATTTGTCTAATTTCCCCCAACAACTTGCTTGAATTCTAGCACCTTCAAACCCGACTTCGTGTTGATCCGACAAGGTCTTGGTTCAGCAACACAGCACTACGAAAATTTGATTACCGGGTTTATATTTGGCGGAGTGCCTTGCCTGAACTCCATCGAGGCCGTCTACAATATGCGAAATAAGGCATGGCTTGTAAGTTGGGCAATACCGAGCTCATATTTCTATTATTTGCTACCAGAAGTGGTTTCATTGTACAAATAAAAAATATAGTCCAATTTTTTGGCCATAAAACCAATCATTTGGTCCTGTGCTAGTCGTGTATTTTTTAGTCTAAAATACAACTAAAATACATGATAAATGCCCTACCTACGACTCCTTGCCTTCAGCAGAATCAACTTTACTAGCAAGGATCATATCTAACAAATTAGTTTGCTATATATTTTTAAAGAGAGAGCGAAAAGTGATACTCGTAATGATAGACACAATTCCACAATTCATTCCGACTTTACACGACATTAAGTACACTTCTTTTCTTTTTCTCTATTGTACACTTTTTAAAAATGATGTGTATGGCCCACAAGCCTTTGAGTGTTCGGTATATTAGTGAAGTGTGAAGGAGTACAAGCTGTATCGTTGACATAATTTTTAAAAGTTATTTTGCTGATTAATACATTTGTATTAACTTCCATGAGTTCAAACCGACTACTAACGTTACCTATTTCAGTAGTTAAAGGATCACTGCTTTCCGTAATATCATGGTTAATAAGCTGATCTTACAAAAATGGTTCCAAAATCTTGTTATTTAGGAACATGTTTGTGATACGGTTTCCTGCAGCTAGCTTTTTTTAATACCGACATTGCTGGTACCTTGTGAACCACCATCAGTCAGATTTATTACATCAAGGGTGGCTTAAATCTCAGCTAACAGGTTCCACAAAAAGTTACCTTAGTTAAACCACCAATTAAATCTTTTCGAGGTATAATAAATCAAACTTTACAACATATAGCCAGTGGTTGAAAGCGGTGCATTCGAATCAACAGGCAGTGATCTAAGAGCCAACAAATTACACTTCGGTCTAGTCGGTACTTGTTTGACATAAAGGGCTTCTTAATACACGACCAGATTGTTCGCATAATAGGACGCAATGAATAAGTGTGCCATGCAACTATAATGTGTCAGACAATGTGGCACCTGAGTAGCTATTTATATTTTCAACATTCTCTCTCTCTTTTGTTTAGTTTTGCAACCTGATAGGAATTCAAAAGAAGCTCGGAGCCTCCGAATTTCCCCTCATCCCGAGAAGCTACCAAGCTAAAAGTCAGCCTTCTGTAAGTTTAACAAGACCATTTTCAGCTCTAGTAAAAAGAATTGATTTAGCAATATTGAAGCCTTAAGACTGAGTGTTGATTGTCGGAGTTTGACTTTGGCTATTAAATCAGTAGAATACCTTGGGGTGTTTGATTGGTGGGTTTCCCGACAACTCCATTTGCCATTGTTTTGTGGTTTGACACCATTGCTGCATCAAGTGAGAAGATGGTTGGTGGTACTGTTGACTCAACAGAACCATGACTGGCATTCTACTTAGTTCCCAATGCGTAGCTTACCAACAGCCTCCGTTTTAGCGGTTTATACAGATCTTCGCATTGGCATCTTGGCTCGTAATTGACTGATAGTGCTACAGCGTGCGAGATAGCGACCAAGGAATGTGTTTAACCTGCCACCCAGTGCTTAAAAGCTCCTTTAGGTGCCAGATCAATTGTAACCTAACTTGGCGTTCACTTTCTCTTTCCAGAAGCCGGACTTTCAAATGCCAGTAAACGTTCGTCTCGGTGGAGATTCTTCGCGTGAATGCGAGGTATGCGGAAAACGACATTAGCGTGCTTGCTCTAAGTTTCACCGTAGTACATTTGGCCATAGACTTAACGGTAGGGTTTAGCCTATTTGACCAGTCCCTATTTTGAGAATTGAGCATTGTGATTTTTCTGTGTGCTTGGAAAGTGTGTATTATTTTAGCAAAAAAATTCCCCTTTTCCTACGATTTGCTGTTCGTGGTATTTTTCAATACGTCAAAGTGTTTGAGCCGCGTTTTGAATTCTATATAAAAGAACGTAAATTCCATGTAAATTCAGATCTGAATGATAAAGCTTTATATTTGGAACGAAACATTTTAGTCCTGATCGCAATCAGATCAAAGTAGAATTTCATAAATTCTTGAATCTTTGAATTTGTGGCTGATTTTGAGGCATAAGTTCAGTTTAATTTCCTAAAACGTGTAGGTACTACAAAAAAAAGATTTCTCAGGGGCAAATTAAAGACCACTTAATTCAAGGCCATAAGTAAACACAAATTAACCTATGTTTCATGCATACATTTTGCAAGAATATTGTCTTAATGTCACATATTCCTATAACACTGAGATTAATTAAAAATAGAATGCTTAGCCTATCGGTTAATTTGCCGGAAGTTACGCAGTCTTGTTCCACTCACCGTTTTAAACCGCCTTCCTCAGGCACTTTAGGTTTTCCAAAACCAGCATGAACTTGCCACATCACGTTTGCTAATGCCTTTTCAAGCGCTCACTCGGAAACGCAAATTGTCAAACTTATGCACACAGTGTTGGTAATACCTTAATTACTCCAAAAAATTATGCTATAGGAACTCGCAATGTCTTTGCTAACATGTTTTTAGCCTTAAAATCATGTAAAATATCTAAGCGTAAGAGGAAAAGCCTATTTCCATTAATATTTTAATGCCGACTTGCTTCGTAACTGTAATATTCATTACATCTTCCGATTCCAGAAATGGTTAAATTCACCTCAAATTCTTGTTTCGAATGTTAGGTAAATCATCATGAAGCAAAACACAAACGTAAAGGCCATTTTCAAGGATTAAGCTTAACTTTTCTGAGTTGGAACCTGTCTATAGTCAATTACGAAGTTTTTTTTCAATGTCTTTGATTGTAAACTCGATGTAGCATTTTATTTTTGGCCTGCCTGTCTGCCAGCTGTAATAAATGCACGATCTGCTAACTGAAGCAGAACAAACTGCCATACACCCGAACAGTTTTATGGGTTAACTTTTGCGGTAGAAATTGTGTAAAACAGTTAGTATGGCCACATACTTTACTGAGACGCTAAGCCAAAATTCAGACCGTCCTTCAAAATTTGGTTTTATGTAGGAATACCAACAGTGTTCCGTTTGCGGGTAGTTTAAAAAAAAGAGTTATCGAATCAAAAATATCAAAATGATGAAATTACATGTAGGTGGTTGCAAGTGTAAAGCTAAAGTGATTACTTTAGGTAAGAGTTGACGATCCGGCCCTCTACCAAAGCATGATGTGTTTGGCGAGCACGACGCAGCGCTACGCTACCACTGAACCTTGCATTCAGGGCGTCTGTGATATTTTCATTCAAAAGATTGGAAACTTTACAAAGGCTTTTATGTAAGTTATTGACAGTGACTCAATGTTTTGTTCACGCTATGACACCATTCCATCCATCTTTCGGCAGTGATTTTTCAAATTGATGACCTTATTTTGATGATGATGGTGATGATGATGATGATAATCGAAGTTCTACAGGCAAGTAGAACTTCGTCCCTTAATGAAATTTTCAAGTGCTTTATTTTGCCTTTTTGTGATTCCTGCCACTTGAGATATCTAAAAGGAAAATATCTGTTATTTCTGCTTCAACGAGGTTAGAATGTTGTGGCAGCAATGCCAAATTAGTCAATTTATAGTATTACTTACCAAATATGGCCTTGTGCGCTAATTTGCATTGCAGGACCTTCTGTTGTTCACAATCGCATTGTCATTATTGTCGTTAATTGGTTCCCAAGTTCATTACTTATATTTAAGGCGAAAACCAATCCGAAATCCATCACTTGGTTCGTCAAGTTCAACTGTTCTTGAAAAAATCCCAGTCTCTCCCACGTAAGTTGCTGCACTTCAAACTGCGTTAACCTAACCCCTGCGCACTATTTCCGACACCTTGCATTTATTTCTCAATGGACGATATGTACCATGATTCTCAAACACGACGGAAATTTGACCTACTCCAGTTATCACACCGCTCCCATTAAAAAGCATAATAATTTTACTTGTCTGGATTTGCATTCTTAATCAAAATCCGCTGTCTGACCAATCAAACCAAGTTTTTTACCATTTTTAATATCTAAACGTTATACTTTAAGTTACGCGTTCAAGGGCAATCGGTTTTCTAAGTGTTTGGATTGGTGGATCTAGATAGGGTTCTTTCTTTGTGTTCATCCTTTACACTGTCAGTTTTATACTTGTCGCATGCAAGTGTAAAAAGACAACAAAATTTTGCTCAATAAGGTGACATGGAATCCGTCTGCTTGCATTATTCCTTTCCAACATACAACCCCAAGCGATATTAGATATGACAAGTAGGGTATGGTTTATGATTCTAGCCATTTCGCTTAATACTTGAACCTGATTTATAGAAAATAAGTGCCTGGCATTCAAGGTAAATTCTATTAACTCACAAGGTATTGGTTTAGATAAGTAGTTATATTCTGTTCATGATTTAATAAGGTGACATATCAGAGTCCATTGGCGATTATGTATCCGCCATGGTCTAAAACACATGATAAGTTGTTAAACGATTTTACCCGCAAAACGGAGGCTTAAATTATGGAAAACCGAAAATTCCAAGTTGTTGATTCGAAAATTTAATCATGGCGTCTCATTAAATACAAAAGGAATGCAATATCAGTTTCGTATATTTTTTCCGAATTAATTGCGATCACATTTGAAATGAATTCGAACCTATACATGTCGTACGTGTTCCAATTTCCGCATATCCTTTGTCGTAGTGGCATTTCAACCAAGAACAGCAAATTTTCTAGCAACTGAAGGAGTTTTTAATGTCCCCATGCCTTTATTCCATACTTCGATTTTTCGCAACGTTAAACTTAACCTTATGAAGTTACAAATGATTTGCATTTTATTCACGTGGATTCCGAATGTGAAAGGAGTTATTTATGTTATTATACCTTAGTGATTAAGAGGTGACAATACCGACATTGAATTTTTTGAACGAAAACTATTACTTTGTTTTTTTTATACTTGAATGGTTGTGAATTTAAACTGTGGATCAGAAATTTTATTTCGCTTGCACTTTTCCATTGTCAACCGCTGAATTATTTAACAAACTGCATTTGAGTTGCTTTCTTCGTTTTTATTTGCTCCTATAAATTTAATTTTTGTTTGCACTGGTCTTTTTATGGCTTAATTAATTAATTTTTAGGGACTTGACGCTATCCATGCTAATTACTTCGTAGAAGGGAAGTTCATTTTACAGAATTTGAAAATCGACCATTCTGACTGCAGAAAATCTTCCTTTCCTACTTGTACATGACAGCTGCGTTCCCGGTTTTAACCGTTCCTCAATTTAGTAAAAAAATTGCCTATGTCCATAAATTTTCGACCATGCTGTAACTACCCATATGGTCTTTGTGGTTGCGTCAGCAGAAAAGCAGCCCTAGATCTGGTTACTTTTTAATAAGTTGAATTGAAGCATGGCTACGCATGCGGACATAGTAACAAGTAGTATGTAGTTATAAAATCCGATTCATTCCAAAAATACTGTTATTTATTTAATTTAAGGTTTCAGAGGTGGATTACAGAGGTAGCACAGCTATTCGGTGGCTTGGATATGTGTGCCATCAAGGCCCAACAAGACATTCAGGGTGACTATTACATCCTTGACGTGAGTTTTCACTTAAAATGCGAATTTTCAGATTTCGTAAAATTCTCGTGCATATTAAGTGCGTTTTCAGCTCTTTCGTTTGTTGGTGATATACTGCTTGTGAATGCCTGCCTTAAAATGTTTTAGCGGCTTGCCTGACCTATATTTAAGAAGCTTAAAAGATAAAACACTTGAAAAAAAAACTTGCATAAGAATATGTCACTGAATAGCAGCTCACCTAAGTTGCGGATTTATTTGACTGGACAAAAAAATTGAGAGTTATTGGTCTGGTCCGATCAGCGTTTAGCTTCTTTGAGGGTGCACTGCATGAATAATTATCTTTTAATTCTCCTTTGGCCTACTACGTGATGTACAGAACCTTGGACAGTTTATTAAATTCGTAGTTAAAACATTAGCCAGACCAATTGATTTTCTACTACGATCTTTTAGTTTTCCTTGTAAAGTTACTTCGGTAGTTTGGTCGGTTGCTGTTAACTGTTTGCCAGTAATTAAAATTACTGACATGTGTTGGCTCCAATCGTTCGTAGAGGTTCAATGTCAAAATTACTCCCTAATAACTGTGAGGTGTGCAGTTTTAGTAAGCACTGATGGTGTACCAGAGTTCGGTTGAGTCATACATGTAAACACACCGATATCAATTACGTCAAAATATCAAAAGCACCTCAGTACATTTAAAAATTAAAAAAAAATGTTATCCTACAAAGAGTAAACCTAATCAGCGAAAAATAAGCTAGGAATTGGCAGGTATAAGGTAGTGCTCAACAGGTAAACGAATTCTGGTTACCGCTGAGTGAGCTCCTGAAGTGGAAACCTGAACAATTTTTGCATTTTGAATTAGGTACGTCTACTCCAATCCCATTTAATTTAACTTGTAAGCTTACAATCTGTTTCCTTAATTTGACATTGTGGCTTAGTTTTCTTTGATTGCACCGAATAAAATCGACTGGCAAAGTACCACAAATTTTTACGTAGGAGATGCACCATCGTTTAATAAATGAAGCGCATGCGCAGTATGCTGCATGTAGCTCGAGATCACTCCTTCAGTAAAAACGCATTTATCCTATGAAATTCTGTTTCCGGTAATCATGAGTTCAGCCTATTTTACTATTTCTAATTCCAATTTACGTGAATCAGAATATTGGTCATTTGGAAAGCATGCGAAGTTCTGCCGCAGGCAAGTTCGGGCACTGTTGCAGTGTGCCAATGAAACCCTTTTGTTGATCACAAGTAAGCCCAATAAGCGGTCAGCTTTTAACCCACATGGTCCCATCGAATAATTCCCTTTCATTGCACGTATACGGTGCTTTATATGAAACGCCCGCATTGTTTATCAACCCATAATTACACATCGTATATTTTGTAAGTAAAGAGAAGTATAGCCAGAGAAACGATATGTAAACACGCTGTTAGAGCTCAAGCCCCACCTTCTCATTGGAAGGACAAAGACAAGTGTGCAACCAGTTACAAATTTCAGTCTTGGGGAGTACCGACTTTACCGAAAATATTGCTTTCAAACTTAAATTGTGCACATAATGCAAAGTGAAGTGTGATAGCCTAATCATGTGATAAGTTTTCTTTAGCAAACCAACTTAGGATATCTCAAATATGGCTGAAATTGTGCTTAAGCGACAAAGCAAATAGCCATAAATTGTGCGTTTAGTTGTCGCATATTGTTAGAAGCATATTTATTTCATGTTAATGTGCATTTACCTCGGGTTTAGGTACTTGGTGCACCCTATGTATTCTTTACAGGTTTATGGCTCCGACTTTACGCTGTTTGGTGACGGACAGGAGGAGGACAGATCGAGAATCGCTGAGCTCATTGTTCAGCGCATGATGCAGGCACAGACACTGACCGAGGGGTGAGTCATTTGACGCCTTTTTGCTGTCGCAATTGTCCTCGCTAATTCCGGCGACGACTGTAGCCTTGATGGCAATTTTCTGCAAGCACAAATAACCCAAATGATGCTTTTGATATTAATCCTAATTCCGAAGTTTAATCAAAATTTTAACTGAACCGTGAATTATTTACTAAGGAAACATTTGTTCTTGCGGTAATCCGAGGTAAATAAAGAACTTGGAGTTATACGGAATCGGTGTTTGACATCTTGTCGATAGCTTGCGTCACAAAGTAAGTCTTAAGGAAAATGGCTTCAAGGTCACCGTTAAATGGACTTGACAGTAGCAAATTCACTTGATCTGACGATAACCCCAAATTGGAGCATCGGAATTTCAGAAGGTGTCCTGTCACTCAGATGTGTTAAAATTTGCTTTTTCTAGCAAGGTTTGTGGAAATAAGTAATTTGACCAGTTTTCGTAGAGATGTCACACTGCAAAAAATTTTCTGTACACGCGTACAGTTTCAAGACTATCGAATCAGTTATGTTAATCCACAGTAAGTGTAGGTCGGTTTGCGACAGAAGCGTCAGCTTGAGGCATGTAACCATTGCACCGCCCAAAAACAGGTAGCTTACCAGTTTATGGCCACACAAAACTCAGAAATTAAAATACCTAGACGTACGTGTCTATTTAGTAAATCCCCTCTGGGTATTTGTGCCAAAAAGTTACATTATAATGAGAGTTTGTTTTTTCCAAAGCACCCAAAGTGATTCCTTTTTAATTTAATTGGGGTGGTCAACAAATTGCTTGCCAACTGCTAGTAGTTATAGAAAATATGAAAAAAAGCTTGCATATTTCAGAACTTACCTAAAAATATTAGGCTAAAACAATTGCAGGTAAAAACCACCATTATCATATAATCAATTTCTTCGATTATCCCTTGTTGTCTAAACATTTCGTTGTTCAGAAACATCCTTTTCCTTTTAAAAATACGCCAAATTTATTGATTATTTCGAAACAAAACCAAATGAATGCGAGGTATATAGCAAAACGGCTAAAATTATTTGATTCCTTGATCATATTCTCCCAGACTTAGCAATTTTGAAGAGCGCCTATACCTACACTTTGTGTAGCCTTGATTTAGTTTAATTTTGAGTTGATTTTGGATGATTTTTCCTATCAATTTACATTTAACTAAGATGCACGTTGAAATAGGTGGTTTGCAGTCTTAAACGTAGTTTGGCTGTACATTTACTTTGCAATGTGGGTAAAACTTTATTATATGTATTTGCAAATTCAAAATTAGTTCTCAAAATGAATTTATGTACCTGCTGCCACACATATTTTACCTAGACGGTCTAAAAGTTTAATTTTTCTCAAAGCATTTACGTCTGCCAAGCTCTTAAGCCTGTTCGAATTTAGCATCGGTGAAAATAGGGTGTAGCAATTCAACTTCACTTCTCTACATCATTGCAATTTTAATTTAATGTCGACGCTTACCCTAAGTCACACATTGCTATTCACAAAGTGTGTTAGGAAACACATCAACTGGCTTGCAAACGGTGTTTTATGTTAAAGGTGACTGACACCCTCGTTTTGTGTTTATCATTGCCTTTTTTGAAGATGTTGGTCAGGAGTATGATGTACAAAATATGTGGCTCGTCTCTTTGGTCGATTAATTGGGCACTAAGCACCCTCCTTTCTTGACTAAAAATACACTTTAAATAAAACCCCGTGACTTTACGATAATTAGGGTTTTCCATTCGCTGGGTCTCCTGGTCAAATGGTGTAGTGAATCGAATTAATCCTCGCCGAATAATGCAGTTGTGTCATTCCTCGCCATGTAGACCTCATTACCACTCCGGCCCTATCGACCTTGCTAGACCGTCTGCCCAGACACCCTTGTGTTTGTACTACCCCCCTACGCTGTCCGTCTAATTTGTCTGAAAGTTCAGCCATTTGTACTCTTGCAGATTCACAGGATCGACAACCATTTTTAGTCAGACACGTTTTTTGCACAGCTGCGCGACTAACACCACCTCGTTGAGCTATCTAGTAAGCGGTTGTCTCGCCCTCTCCTGTCTTCTTTATCTTCGTGGCTTCTGTTCAAGTTAGCATTATCGGGTTGGATTAAAACTCGGTAGCCCCGGCGTGGTTTGAGACAGCGTGCCGGAGGCCACAAAACGAGGTTTTACGACAGGTTTTACGTGTGTTCTAGCCACGTTATTGTTGACAAGATTTATCTGAACCCATAATACCAACTTTCATTCTAACTACATAAGAAATTTCTGGTAAATTTATTTTATAACCTTGTCCTCATCCATTTTACGACACCTTTAGAAAGTAGCAGTGTTCAAGCATGGAAGTTAATCCAAGCCGCTGACGATTTGTCATAAACCGTTTGGGTTTCGAGAGTTGGTCGACGTCAAAAAACTTAGAACTTGTATGCTCTGGGATTAGCAGTCAGTGTCTAGGTTTTAAATTCGCTTCCATTTTCATGTGAGTTCATTTCCAGTTGCTTAAAATTCAACTGGCAACTTGTCAGTAAAATTAAAAATTTCCAATAGCATGCTAATGCTATTTCGACATGCCAACAAGAAATTTTAAGAATTTTATAACTACATGCGAGATGATGGGTGCCGGTAAGCAAGGAAAATAAGTCATTTGAGTTACCTGTAAAATTAGGCAAAGAAGATATCACTAAATGTGAATCTAATTTTCCTGATTCTCTTACGATTATGTGATTACGTGAAATTACATTGGTTTTGAAAGTCTAGGACGTTGGTTAATGACGATTCCGTGAATTTTCATGAGTTGGACACTGAGTAAATTTAACTTTCGCAACACACCTGTAATGATTTTGGTAATAAAATACTGAAATATTTATAAAATAACTAAAAAAACTGCCTCAAAATAGCAGGCTTGGGGTCGTCAAACTTTCTGATTAGCGTAGCCTAATGATTGTTTAGTTCATTGTTGCAGGCAAATAAGTTTCTCGAAGCATCTGCTCGTAGGGACATTTAAATTCACGCGCCTTGCAAGATCCACTAATAAAAAGACGCCTATTTGATTACAGGGTCCCCAGGACTGTATCCAGGTCTCAAGTGGCTCCAGCGTCCGCCAGACCCTCCCAGACAGCGATGTCTGCCCAAGTTTATGGTTCCCCTCCCTCGATGCCAGAGCCTCCGGCTGACACGATTCATGGACAAGGCCGAAATCCCCAATTGCAACAGTCGACCTTCACAAAACATGATCAGCAACGGCAGGCGGCAGCACCGCCACTGTCTACGTTTTCCTCTTCACAGACCTTTAGAGAGCCTGTGGAAAATGAACCAAAGCCGTCACCTGCGACAGTCGACTTCAGTCCGATCACAACACCACTCCGTTATCAGATGCCAGAACGACAATCACAATTCGATTCGCCACCGACTAGAACGGAGTCCAGAGATAAGGAAGCAAAAGACGCAACCACCACCATCGCAACATCGGGCCGTGCTCCTTCGATGGACTTTTCAAGTCAACCCCGATCAGTACAGATGAAGTTTGGAAGAGAAGAAACTGAAGGTGCTTCTGCCATTGTGGGATCATCGGTAAAGAGAAAACCATCAGACACATCAGTTGGAAGGGATGTGCAGGCGACCCGAGAGCCCTTTTGTGAAGGCAACATCACTGCGTCAGGACAAACAAGGATGCGGCCGACGAAGGAAGCAGCACCTCAACCACCCAGACAAGCCTCACTGACAGGTCGCCTCGATACGCCTACTAAATCGACTGTCAGCACGAATATATTCGAGCCCTCAATGAATATCTTTCAACCGGAGTCGCACAACCAGCCTCTACTGGCGGGATTTCAAAGTCAGCCCAAGGAAAGAGTGGACGATCCCGCAAGCATAATGAAATTTGATAACTTGTAGGTTTACTTTTCATACGATATGTCTTAGTGCATGCCTAATTACCTGTAAATGAGACGTTATTATCCGATTGGAACTCGGTTTATTTTCTTTGGGTAATTAAATAAGTTTATCAAGCTCTGCATATTTGGTCTGGTGGTTTTGAATAAGAAATAGGTTTAAGCATTCAGACAACAGGTTGCGAATGTCGTGATTTTGATTTGAACGCGAAGGTAAAAAATTCCGGCTCTTGTCACAATTTTTTTAATTAAGTGGTTTCAAAGATACGTTAATCTGATGAACTTTTCCAATAATCTGATAGAGATACCGGAAGATAACATTGAGTCTTTATAATATCGTCGTCGTCGTACTGTTCCCTCTGGCCTGAAACTGTGATGGCACCAACACAACGAAAAATCCGTTCCTGTTGTGGAACTTCACTTCTTGATGTCACAATGTCGAACCCATAAATTGCGTGTCAATTTTTCCAAAAGAAACTCACACCCATCGTGTGCAATCAGAAAATGTTCTGATCATTTTTGTATAACCGAGAATGTACTCATGGGCCTTTCTTGCTTGCACAGATCGTCGATGGATTTCGGGCAACTGAAAACAAGGGCCCCCCCATGTAACGACCCTTGGAGCGTCCCCACAACACAGTCACCCGCACCGGTGGATAGTAAGCCACAGACCACCCCGACGTTACCTTTCACTTCCAAGGCAGTTCCCCTGCATAGCGAGGCCCCCAGGCAGACTCCTCAACTCTCTCCCAATCCCGATGACACCGACGATACGATGAAAAACCTGCGGAAGACTTTCGCAGGCATTTTCGGTGATATCTGATGCCACCAGTGATGACTATAGTGAAACACATTTCTGGCTATATATATATGTTGTGCCAAAATGCTGATAGATTCTATCGCCCCTTACATGCATACAACTTACAAAAGAGTGGCTTTGTTGTGCTTATGTTGTTTGTCTATACTTTATCCTATTTGCGCTTTGAATATTACTTTCGGAGCACTTTCGAATCGATGACACATCCGTCGCATGCAACGAGTAGCCAAAATAAACATCGAACATCCACAAACTCCCGACTCCTGTGTGTACGAAAACTTAAAACCACTTCTACGGGGTTGGTTGTCAACAATGAGGCAGACGGCGGACACTTTCCCACTTGAATTTAGTTAGTTTCCTCGCGTTCGGCAACCAGCAAAGTGCCGTTGATCACACGCGTGGGACCAAACGGGCAGCTATTTTGATCGCTTGTCTTCCATTGCTTATGGGTGGAATAGAGGCATGCAGCGCACGACTGCTTAAGTCTGCATTTACAGCAGAAGGGCTTCACGCCTACTTGAAACAGCAGTAGGCTCGAGTCACCATATTTTAGAATAACCAGAGAAACTGCATTTCGCAGCGTGGGTCACTTAAAAGACTAGAAGGGTCACACCCATTAAACCGTGAGACATTAGGTGACCTAGTGCGAGAAGCGACAAACACCTCGGTTGGTACGTAACCAGTTGGAGCGGACAAGAAGGTCTTGGTGTGACTGCGTGCAGACGTAAAACACCCAAGCTCCAAGATTAAG